CTAATCCAGCCAGGGTGATGATATCTAAAAGCCATTCCTAGTTGTGGCAGCTTGCCATCTCAGCTAGAGGTGAGGAGGAGCAGCAGCTCACAGGTTACAGGAGTTAGAACATAGGACCAGGAGGTAGAGCAGCCTTGCTAACAGGGAACTCTATCTCCACTCTCCCTTCTTCACGGGCAATAGCCAGCCAGAATGCAGGCGCATCCCAAGAGGATAAAATATATTTTTATGTACTTGGGCCTTGCTAGAAAGCACAGTCTGAGGTTTGCAGATTAATATGTTAGTGATCTCTGGAACTAACTTGCAAATAGTGAAGTACGAAAAGCACTTGCTCAGAAATCAGGTTCTAATCCTGGCTCTGATACTAACTTGATGTGTGATCTTGGACAAGTCTTTTCCCCTTTTGGGGGGGTCTCAGTTTACCATTTCCTTAAGGAAATTGAGCTTCGATGATCTCTGAGGCCCAAAACTTGATGCTGTGATGTAACATGAACAAGCTCTGCTGAGCAGTTTCCTCTGACAAGTGCTCGGGCCTCAGTGTTTTGTACCTTTGACATAGTCCTTCTGTGGCGCTGGTTCTTCTTGCTCTGTTAGGAGGACTGCTATCATGAAAACAGGGAGAACTCTAAAGGTCAGGTTGTACGTCTCCTCCTCACATGACAAGGAATGTTCCTTCCTTCCTTCCTTCCTTTCTTCCTTTCTTCCTTTTAAGTAATGCTGAATTCTAATTTTTTTCTTTTCTTTTTAAAGTTTATTTCTTCCATGAGAGAAAAAGAGAGTGAGAGAGACAGCCCCAATAGGGTCTTCAGACCATGATCCACTTCTAGTCTCAGTTGGCCTGAATCACAGTACCCATGCACCCAGTGTGCTCAGGGAGATCCCAGGACATGACTCTAGGACCTTTCCCATGGCGGTCCAGCTGCATTACCGCTGCGCCACTACCTGGCCCCCAGCAGGCATGTTTTTGACTCTCCCGAATGTTTTTGACTCTCCCTTTCATCCTAGTTTATACTGGAGGATGATGCAATAGAACTTTGGCAGTGTATGTTTCTGAAATTTCTGAAACATGGAAGGTATTCAATAGCAGACAAAGAAAAAGAGAAAAAACAAACAAACAAGAAAACAACTAGTGTCATTAGATAGAATATGTGTGGTACCCAGGCCCTTAGGATTTAGTCTTCAGCAGACCTGTCTTGTCCCTGCTCTGGGCCAGCCTCTGGATGGCGTGTTGAGAGTGCTGAGATTAATCAGACGTGGCTCCTTTGGCCCTTGAGTAGCTCCCAGACTAGGAGGAGAGATGGAAATGTAAGCAGTTCCAAACCACATGGTGTACGCAAGGGGAGAAATGTGCACAGAGAGCTCTGAGAACACGAAGGATGGATGGCTGACGTGGCCTGGCCTGAAGGTGGGTAGAAGGTCATGGTTTACACACCCATTTACATCCAGTCTCAACATTTTTGACCCTTGAGCTTTACAATTCTCTTCCCATTTAAAAAAATTAACCATGATTATAAATTATTAAAATGGATTTTGGTGTTACATAAACAAACCAGAAGATATTACTCATGATTTCTTGCATTTACAGAACACTATACAGTTTTCTGAGGCTCTCAGCAATAGTTGTTAGATTAATGAATGAATGTAAGTTAATTCATATGTTTTTCAAAACAGCCCTATAGGTAGGGCATTTAAAGATAAGGAAATGGGGCCAGCAGGTGGCATGTGGTTGGGGTGCTGGATTCCCACATGGATGACTCTGGTACAAGTCTCAGACCTAGTGGCTTGAAAATCACAACAAATAATCAGATAAATAAATATATATTTTTTAAAGATAAGGAAACGGGGCTGGCAGGTGGCATGGTGGTTAAGGGTGCTAGACTCCCACATGGCTGACCATGATTCAAGTCCTGAACCTGGTGGCTTACTTTCTCACTTTCTGTCTCTTTCACTCTCTCTCACTCAGTCCCTCTCTGGTCAAATTAAAATTAATTAATTAATTAAAATAATAAGAAAAAATATATATAATATAAAAAAGATAAGTAAATGGACTCAGAGGTTATTAGACTGGCTCAAGATTATATACCATGTACATAGCACAACTATAACTTGAATCCAGGTTTTTTGACTCTAAATCCACATCTTCTCCCCCTTTCTGCCTTTCTTTTTTTTTTAATATTTATTTATTTATCCACTCATTTATTTTTTAATTTGACCGGGGGGTGGGGGGGAGTGCGAAAGCAAGCCACCAGGTCCGGGACTCGAACCGTGGTTGGCCATGTGGGAATGTCCAGCACCTTTAACCGCCACGCCACCTGCTGGCCCCTTTTTCTTCAGAGATCAGTTATGAACTACAGGATAAAATCACTCAGCCTTTTTTTTAAAAGTAATTTAATTTTATTTGTTCATTCATTTACTTTAATTTGACCAGAGAAAGACAGAGAGAGAGGGACAGTGAGAAAGCAAGCTGTCAGGTCTGGGACCCAAACCATGGTTAGCCATGTGGGAGTGTCCAGCACCTCAGCCACCATGCCACCTGCTGGTCCCACTCAGCCTTTATTTTGTGATAAAAAGTAAAATTAGGGACCAGCAGATGGTATAATGGTTATGTCATTGGACTCCCACATAGTCGACCGTAGTTCAAGTCCTGGACCCAGCAACTTAAAACTCACACTGGGTGTGTGTGCGTGTGAACCCAAGATCCCAAGGGGAGAATGGAGGAGAAAGGACTGTGGCATGACCATCCTCCATGGAGGGTGATTTCTTATTTTCTGTCTCTGTGTCTCTCTGGTGAGTGCATGCACTCTATAGCAAAAATCGCTCTCAAAATAAAATAAAATTTGCCTCCTGGAGGCTGGAACCTGGTGGAACATAAGGAGCATGGGTCTTTGGATTTAGAGCTTTATCACTAATTTGCTATGTGACCAAGGGTAAGTCTCTCAGGCAAATTACCTCTTTTATATGTGCATAAAGTGTAAAGTACCCAACTCATGACAGGTGCTTAGTAAATGGAGATGATGATAGGCATGATTATGGTCAGGGCTGTTAAGAATAAATCTTTCTCTCTCTCTCTCTCTCTCTTTTTTTTTTTAACCAGAGGGTACATGCAATTGCTTGGGGGAGAGATGGGAATGAGGATAGAGGGGCAAAAAAGCATTCCTCATGGGAATAGTCACATATCTCTTCTCCTTCATTTCTTTCTCCTTTCAAGATTTTGCACACACACGATAGCTACATACCCAGTGTGTTTCTCAAGCTGCTAGTCCAAGACTCAAACAACACAGTCAAGCCACGTGGGATCCAGCTACCTTAACCACCAGGCCATGGGCTGGCCCATTACAAATAACTCTTAACAGGGCCCAGCAGGTAGCATGGTGGCTAAGGTGCTGGACTTCCACATGGCCAACAATGGTTCAAGTCCCAGACCTGGTGGCTTGAAAAGCATGCCAAGCACATATGAGTGCATGCCCAATATCCTGAGAGGAAATTGGAGGAGAAAAGATTGCATCATGACTGTTCTCTCTATGGGGTGATTTCTCATTTACCCTCTCTCTGTATCTCTCTGTCTCTCTCCTTTCCAGTGAGCATACGTGCCCTATGACAAAATACCTAAACAAAGAAATAAACAAAAGAATAAATCTATCCTACAAAAATGTTCAAGACCAGTCATGGTACTGCTCCATGAGACCATATTGAGAGGTCTAGGGTTTGGGTCTTGAGGTCTCCCTGTAACATGCCTATGTTCCTGGCTGAGACCTAGAGTTGGATCAGGTAAATAAATAAACTTTAAAAACAAACAAAAACACCTGCTTAAATAATCAGTCCCTACTCTGTGTTACGTATTACACTTTTTTTTTTTTTTTTGCTGGGATTCTGGAGAGGAATAAAACAAGGACCTTGCCCTCAAGCATATTGCGATCTGAAGGTCAAAGTTTTACCCTATTGAAGACATGTAGTCACCTTCATTATAGGTTCTAAAGGCCCTCTTAGCCATTCCCTATGGAAAGTTCTACCAGGGTTTCAAAGGTCTCATTGAAATTGCTTTATTTTAGCAGTCTTACCACTTCAGATTGCCCATCTTATTCTGTCCTCTCCACAGCCTCAGAGCCCTCCTTTCTCCCTAGCATCTCCCTCTTCCTCTCTTCCTCCTCTTCCCATGTCTAACAGTTTCCTTCTTTTTGTCCTTTAACCATGACCCCAGTATTTTAAGCACCCTTAAAACATTCTCTAACCAAGCCAGCCTTTCCAGTGTTCCTGTCCATTACCCTCCCTGACACTCCCTGAACGTTTTCTTTTCAGCCTCTGCTTCCTTTACACACCTTCTTCCCTTCGTCTAGAATGCCCGCTCTCTTCCCCCTCACTCTCTCCTGTCAAACTCCTTCTCCAAAGTCCTCCGAGAATTCTTTCCCAGCTTCCCCAAGCAGAGGTTATTTGCACTGAAATTCATTTATTGCTCAGCATGCTTAGAACAGTATTGAAGGTAACACATTGCAGTATAATTATTTTGGTATGTCTGTTTTCCCATAATAGACAATGTGCTCCTTCAATTAAGAAACTGTCCCTTATACTTTGTGTTTATAGGATCTAGCACAAAACCAAATATGTAGTTGGGGCTCAATTCATTAAACTGACCACTTCCTATAATTTGGGATGAAAAGGTAAAATTAGGCCTAGCCTGGGGGTACATTCTGTAGCATACTGGACTGCAGTGTTGGAAGCCACATAGTTGACCACAGGTCTGGATCCCCAAGTCAGCCTGTAAACACACAGGGCATGTGTGCAGGCACCAGGATTCTGAGGAGCAGGATAAAACACCCCCCCCCCCCAAAGAAGTTGGCAAACAGGAGAATCCTGAGAGATCACAGAATTGGAAATGGACTGCCGGTTTGACTTGCTAGGGGATCTCTGTTTAATTAACAGTCTGTGGACAGCAAAGAGCCAAATATCACACTTTGTTTTTTTCCTTTCTTTCATACTTTTGTTCTTGTCATTTGTTTCCATAGGTCAACTCCTATATTCTGAAGAAGAACATGATGTTCATGACAAATAACTTTTATGCAGCAATCTTGGGATATGATGAGGTAAGATCGTTTGCCAAGCCTTGATCAGGCCAGTGTCCTCCCCTAGCAAAGGTTTTTGATAAGAGCCTCTGGAGGAAGACCATTGGAGACCATTGTCACTGCTGGCAATTATGGTTAATATTTACATCTTTGGGGCCAGCAGGTGGTATGGTGCTTAAGGTGCTGGACTCCCACATGGCCAGCTGCAGTTCAAGTCCTAGATGTGGCCGCTTACTTTCTCACTTTCCCTCTCTCTCTCTTTCTGTCTCTGGTGCCCTATAGCAAATTAACAAATATTAATGAAACAAATTAAATAAAAATAATCCTTAAAAATGAACATCTTTTACATCTTTATTGGCTGGGCCATTAAGTGAATGTGGTTAGCAGTTTGCCTAGTGTTGGGACAGGGAGCACTATATCGCATGGTCAGATTATTCAGCTAGTCAGCATGTACTGGGTACCTATTGGGTGCTAGATGCGGGGACAGAGACATATCAGACACTCACTATCCCAGCCCCAGGTGCATCCAGGAAGAGGAAGACATTCATGTGTAAATAGCACTGTTTGCTAAATTGTTCTGCCCTTTCTTGTGTTTGTTATAAAAGCAATGTGTACTCATTTTAAAACATATTAAAACTGGGACCAGCATATGGCGTAATGGTTACATCACTGGACTCCCACGTAGTTGACTGTGGTTCAAATCCCAGATCTGGTGGCTTCAAACTCATGCCGGGCATATGTGTGCCCAAGATCAGAGAAGAGAATGAGAAGAGACTGTGGCATGGCCACTCCCCTGGAGGGTGATTTCTCGCTTTCTGTTTCCGTCTCTTTCTATCTGGCTAGCACATATGCCATATGGCAAAAATCTCTCTTAAAAAAAAAAAAGGTATTAAAACTGTACATAAGTGGTTAAAATAGAAAATAGAAGGCCCTGGGGCAGCCCTGTAGCACAATACAAGCCCTGTGCATGGGGAACTAGATCCCACATGGCTGACTGCCTTTTTTTTTTTTTTTTGGAGAGGGCACATGTGCTCGCCAGACAGACAGGGAGAGACAGAGAGACAGAAAGCAAGAAATCACCCCCCAGAGGGGATGGTCACACCGCAATCCCTTCTCCTCCATTCTCCTCTCGAGATCTTGGGCATGCACGCACACGCGCCCAGCGTGAGTTTTAAGCCACCGGGTCCGGGAGGCGAACCGCAGTCAACTATGTGGGAGTCCAGCGACATAGCCATTACACTAACTGCTGGTTCCCATGGCTGACTGCCTTTTGAGTTTTAGTTCCTATGGCTTGAAAAACATACTGGGCACATGTGTACATATCCCCAGAATTCTAACAATAGGGAGAAATGTAGAAAAGAGGATTGCTGTGACCATGTCTCATTGGTAGCTGCTTTCTCTCTGTCCACATGACTACACACAGTCCTCTGGCAATTAAAAGAAAAAGAAAATAGGGATCAGCAGATGGTGTAATGATTATGTTATTGAACTTCCACATAGTAGAACATGGTTCGAGTCCCGGACCCAGTGGCTTAAACTCATGCCGGGCATGTATGCGTGTGTGTCCAAGATCCTGAGAGGAGAATGGAGGAGAAGGGATTGTGACATGGCCATCTGCCCTGACGAATGATTTCTCACTTTCTATCTCTCTGTCCCTCTCTTGTCTTTCCGGCAAGTGCACACGCTCTATAGCAAAAACTTCTCTTCAAAAAGAAGAAGAAAGTAGACGGTCTATTTCCTCTGCTGTCCAATTCCCTGCCCCAGAGGAAAATTTCATTATTGTTTATTAGATGTCCTTCCAAACTTTTTCTGTGCATAGACAGCACCTACATGTTTTTCTTCCTTATGTAAATTTGAGTTACATTGTATGCATTATTCTGCCGTTTGCCTTATATATATATATATATATATATATATATACACACACACACACACACACACATATCTATAATAGCCTATACTTTACCATTTTAGCCATTTTTAAGTGTACAGTTTAGTGCCATTAAGTACACCCCCATTGTTGTTCAGCCCTCATCACCATCTATATCCAAAACTTTTCCTTCTTCTTAAACTCCATGCCCAGTAGATACTAATTCCCCTTATTCTCGTTATGCTGGTCCTTGGCAACCAACTTTCTACTTTTTGGTTCTATGAATTTGACAACTCTAGACATCTCATATAAGTGAGATCAAACATTTGTTGTTTTGAGTGGCTTGTTTCACTTAGCATAATATCCTCAAGGTTCATCCATGTCATAGCGTCTGTCTTGTCTTTTTTCGACTAGTTTTTATAATGGAAATCTTAAGCATATGGAAAAATGAAAAGAATGGTGTGATATGGCCTAGCAGGTGGTGTGGAGGTAGGGCACTGGATCCTACACGGTCAGCTGTGCAATTCCAGTCCAGTACCTAGTTGCCAGAAAATCATGCCAGGCATGTGTACATGCTGTCCAAAATCGCCAGAGGATACTGAAGGAGAAGGGATCGTGGTGTGGGCATCTCCCAGAAGGTTATTTCTTACTTTCTCTTTCTCTCTGTTTTGGTTTCTCTCTGGCATGTGCACACACCCTATAGCAATAAAAAAGAAAAAGAGAGAGGCAAAAAAAAAAAGAATGGTGTGATAAACACTTGTGTGCACACCACTGGGATTCATCATTTGGATAAAAAATAAACCATGTGCCTTTTTTTTTTTTTTTTTTTTTTTGGAGAGGTTTGTGCTATAGGGCGCCTGCGCTCACTAGAAGACAGAGAGAGACAGAGAGATGGAAAGCAAGAAATCACCCCCCGGGGGGGATGGTCATGCCGCAGTCCCTTTTCCTCCATTATCCTCTTGGGATCTTGGGAATGCACACATGCACACGTGCCCGGCGTGAGTTTAAGCCACCGGGTCCAGGACTCAAACCACGGTCAACTATACGGGAGTCCAGCGACATAGCCATTACTCAAACTGCTATTCCCGCAGGCTGACTCTTGTTAGGGGCTAAAGCTGGTGACCTTACGTTGAAGTCAGTGGTTATTTACCTTTCTAAAAATCCTAGGCCCCTTGAGAATTATGCTAAATCTCCCCTGTTTGTGCTCCAAAAACAGAACAAGAAAGCATGGATGACAGCACATCTGTTTATAGCGTGGTGTACTGAATTTGTAATCCCATTGTTGAGAACTACTGCTAAGGAAAGAAAGAAGAAGACTCTTTCTTCTCAATTTATTACTGTTTATTGACATTATACCTGATCACCCAAGAGCACTGATGGAGATATACAAGGAGATTACTGTTACTTTCATGCCTGCTAACACAACATACATTCTGCATTCCATGGATTAAAGAGTCATTTGGACTTTTGAGTTTTATTATTATTATTTTTTGCTATAGGGCACGTGCGCTCGCCAGACAGACAGAGAGAGACAGAGAGACAGAAAGCGAGAAATCACCCCCCAGGGGGGATGGCCACGTTGTAATCCCCTCTATGTGTGTGCACCTAGAATTTCCAACAGGATGTAGAAATGGAGGAGAAGGGATTGCAGTGTGTCCACACCTCTTTGAGGGGTGCTTTCTCCCTCTTTCTCTCTCTATGTCTCCCTGGCAAGTGCATGCACCCTCCAGCAAAATTTTTTAGAAAGGAATATTATATAAACTTAGTTGATAAAGTAGAGAGACCAGCAGTTAGCGTAATGGCCATGTCGCTGAACTCCCATGTAGTTGACCGCGGTTCGAGTCCTGGACCCTAGTGACTTAAACTCACGCCAGGCGCGTATACATGCGTGCCCAAGATCCCAAGAGGAGAATGGAGGAGAAGGGATTATGGCATGGCCATCCCCCCAGGGGGTTATTTCTTGCTTTCTATCTCTCTGTCTTTCTGGTGAGCACACGTGCCCTAAAGAAAAAGAAAAAGAAAGAAGTTGTCATAGCCACCCCCACCTTCCACAACCATCACCCTTATCATTCAGCAGCCATTAACATCAAAGCAAGATCCTCCAGCTGCAAAAAGATTACAGCTCATAGAAGAGTCAGATGACCATTAGCTAATGGTTAGTGATTATTTATTTATTTATTTTTAATCTGACCAGTGAGGGACATAGAGAAAGTGAGAAAGCAAGCTGCCAGGTCTGGGACTCGAACCAAAAATATCACACGGCCCAGCATCCCCAACCACCATGCAACCTGCTGGCCCCACATTTTTTTTTTTTTAAGAGAGATTTTTGCTATAGGTGCACTTGCCAGAGAGACAGAAAGTGAGAAATCACCCCCTAGGGGGATGGCCATGCTGCAGACCCTTCTCCTCCATTCACCTCTCGGGAATTTGGTCATGTATACATATGTGCCCAGCATGAGTTTCAAGCTACCGAGTCTAGGACTTGAATCCCCATTGGCCATGTGGGAGTCCAGCAATGTAACTATTATGCCATCTGCTGATCCCATGGTTAGCAATTTTAAGCAGTAAAAGACTTTAAATTAAGGTGTGTACCTTGTTCTTTAGACATAATGTGATTTCACACTTAACAGACTACAGTATAGAGTACACATAACTTTTATATGCACTGGGAAACAAAAATAAGTCCATGTGACTTGCTTTATTGCAATATTTGTTTGATTGTGGTCACCTGGAACTGAACCCACACTATCTGGGCCCTATCCCTCAAAGGTTTTGCTTTAATTGGTGTGGGTGGTATTAATGGTTGCATGTTCCCCAGCTAATTTTACTGTGCAATTCCAGAACAGTTTTTCTTAAATTTTAACACGCATGAGAATCACTTGGAAGCCTAGGTAAGTTTCAGATTCTGACTCAGCAATTTGTGTGAAGCCCAAGATTCTGCATTGCCAGCAGACTGCAAGTGATCTAGGTGCAGCCATTTTGCTGGAAACACAGCTTCTAAAGCTGTCCAGTACTAGCCACATGTGGCTATTTGGATTTAAATTAATTAAATGTTCCTCAGTTGCACTAGTCACATTTCAGGTGCTCGGTAGCCATATGTGGACAGTGTCTACTGTATGTGGGCAATGTAGATACAGAACATTTCCATCAT